GGACAGACGGACGGACGGACGGAGACCACAACAAAATTATTATAGTTGATTTTAAATAATTTTTTTGCGAAAAACGCTTGGCAAGCAGCCAAGAATATTTTTGTTGGCTCCTGAAGCGCTAAAATTTTGGAAATCACCTTGTTCATGGCGTTATTACGATCATCTACCAACTGCTGAGTCGGACACCATAGTGTCGCTATAAATTACATCTAAAAGGACGAGAAATGGCCAGAATCGACGAAGTCGTAATTTGCCTGGGTCTAGACAGATACGCGTCACTCCAAAACCCCAAGTACGCGGAAATACTGTTGCTCCCTAGAACCCAAAAGGGTACCAAAAAATCGACGAGTTATTTGTAGTTAGTTGTCGATACCCAGCCTAGAGTAAGGGTCGGCTCCATGGCTTCCTATTGCCTTTAAAGGGCACGTTCAGGGACGTTTTTTTGGAAAAAAGCAAAGATCTTTGCCGCGGCCGGGGGTCGAACCCGGGCCCCCCGCTCGGGAGGCGCGGCTGGATACCAGTCAGCCACAGCTACAACCTGGCGAGGGGGCGAGGGGCGCCCCACGCCGCAAAGGAGGGGACTGGCCTGTCACAGCACGGGCAGGCCGTGCGCGCGGTCCTTACGTCCATAGGGTGTACACGTTGGGACGAGTACACGGCCCCTCCCTGAACGTGCGCTTTAAAGCCTTAGAAAATACCGGCAGAAAAACCACATAAGACGCCGCTAAAGATTTCCAATGTTCCCAGATGTAGTTTTAGGTTAAGCAACGAAAGACGCCTATGAACGCGCCAGAAATTGAAATTTTTAACATGTTAGAAAAATACAAAGTTAACGATCAATCTGAAAAAGGTTGTAGTCGTCAAGCAGTTTTATAATAAAATAAAATCCAAGCAAATCACCATCAATCAGCAGAAACTTTTAATGAAAGAATTAAAAGTTGGTCAAACGAGTTAGAAAACGAGCTAAGTAGGCCGCAAATGCTTTGCAACTTTTGCCGCATTGTTGCCACAAAATCTTGCTACGCAAAAGTTATATCGTGGACATGGCACTGTTCGACTTTTCAGGCGAGAGGGCGAGTGAGAGAGAGAGAGAGAGAGAGAGAGAGAGAGAGAGAGAGAGAGAGAGAGAGAGAGAGAAGGAATGGATGCGATGAGGGGGCACTCATCAAACAATTACCCCCGCCCTCCCTTCCACTTCATAAACAGACAATTCAGATGAGTAAAAAAGCCGGGGCTGAACCTATGGAAGGACCGGGGTAGAGGGAGAGGGACATTATTTGGAGAGACGCTTCTGCCAACCACTGCCAACAGGGTGATTACGGTAGCCCACACGGGTTTAGCGTCAAATAGAACGCAGCTGGGGGGAACCTTGAACTTTTCAAGGGACTGTGAAGGCTGGAATTTAGTAGATACCGCCGGGGCCGCGTTGCGTATAGCGAAAAATAGAGCGTTTTGTGTCGAAGCGGAATCCCGACAGTCATAATCCCGATAGGGAAAATACCGACAACGATTTTCCCGACAGCCATAATCCCGTCAGGCTAGCGTCAACAGTATGTCGAGATATTGACTTGTCGGGATTGTGACTGTCGCGATTATGGCTGTTGGCATTTTGGATGTCGGGATTTTGTCTATCGGCACTATGGTTGTCGGGATTATGCTTCTCTGGATTTTGACTTGTCGGGATCAAAAGTGTCGGGATTTTGGCTGTCGGGATTGTAGTAGCTGTCGGGATTTTAGCTGCCGGAATTTTGGCTGTCGGCATTTTTACCTGTCGTCGGGATTTTTAATGGAATTCTGCCTGAATCTCGACATTCTCGTTGCCTGTGCTGTAAAATCCATGCCTTTCTCATCCCTTTAAAGGCACCATGCCAATACCTGAAAAGTACCCCCACCTGTCCAGATCTCCCCAGGATCTCAGGTGACATTTCCCACGAGGACAGTTCCGGTTCAACCCCCCACTGGGTAGAGGGAATCGAAAGGAACTGAGGAGGAGCAGAAGCAGATTCGAAAAATCGAGCCGATTTCGAGGCGAGAGGGAGGGAGTGAATACGTGTTTCCTTGGGTGTGTGGGATGGCTGTCCATAGCATCCCATCGTTGCCCTACTTTCTCACAAATCCACCCGAAAAGAAGGCACCCATTCCACCCTCGTCAGGGCCACCTCGCAACATCCCGCCGAACCGATTTTTTTTACGGCTTCTGTTGGCTGGGGAAGGCGGGGCGTACGAAGACCCAAGTTTTCGAATTAAATCTGATCAAAAACTCTTTAATGGCCCCATTTTTAAGAGTGTTTTCAACTACGGTCTGTAAATCTCGCATTTTTCTCCTAAAACTTCGCCTTTCTCTCCGTTTCTGTGGATTTTGAAGGGTCTCAAAGCCAGTTTTTCGTGTTTATGACACACGCACTCTCTCTCTCTGTCTCTCTCTCTCTTTCCCTCTCTCGATAGCTCTCGCTGTTTCTCTTTCCATGCACTCCATCCTAAATTGACTGATTTTTTTCGGACTGTACTGTAGTTTGCCGCCGTATTTTTGAATAGATGGGCATTTTCTTACTTTTGCTTTACATGGCTTGTTATTTCACATTCCGCTCTACACCTATCGACACGCCTCGTTTGGGAAAATTGAGCCTACACGCCCTTTAAAAAGCTCTAGCCACGGTCAACTTTGATTTAGCGATCAAAGTCGAGACCCAATGAACTGGACCGTCAATTTTTACGCTTTGTAAGCCCTTTAAAATGCCATGGACATTTGAGCGAATTTGAGAAAGGAAAACCAGCCGTGAGTGCGCAAAATATTGGCGTGATCTGTTGCCAAGCGTACCCGGTTAAAGGACCCTGCAAGGAAAGTCCTCATTGCTTTGACTAAAGCTATTAATATTGTGAGCCGCGACACGCAATTTTTTCTAATTTTTTATGAGGTTTTCATATCTCAGCAGGAGTGTTATAAAAAGGCCTATATTGTTACAGGGCCGTACGTTCTCCCCCCCCCCCCCGCTAACAGTCCAGTACCTGGTCTGTCCTTTTTTTGGCAACGTTATGCAACTGTGAACGCAATAACCCTGAGTCGATTTTCTAGCTTTCGAGCTGCCATTATGACTTTTGAAGCCACAAACAGATCGATGCCATTCTTCCGCTCCCTATCTTCCCCGGGCAACAAGTCCAGCTCCCTGTGGATGAGATGGTAAGTCATGGCTTTTCGCCGTGGGGGTGGTGGTGTGGACTAGCCAAGTGTGGCCGGGGGGGTGAAGACGCGAAAAAACCGCCTATGGCAGTGTGGAGGGGGATGGATATGGAGAAGCATCTCGGAAGAACCCGTCCACACATTGCCATCCTTCCCTTCACCACTTCATTCCCTCCCCGACACCCCCCAACATCCCATATTGATCATTAGATTAGGGAGGCGGAAATGGCGACCATCATACCGTAATCCTCAGGTTTTTAGGCTCTAGTTCCTTAGCGAGGGGGTGGCCACGTCCACTCGACTTTCCCCTAGGTTTTTAAAACCATCAAAGAAACTCTGCTAGCACGCCCCTAGCATCTGATTTTCTGTTTTTTTAGTCAGAAAAATTGAATAATTCGCGAAATAATTGTTCAAAGGAAGACTTTGAAGAATAAAATAACCCTGGAATAAATGTTTGGAAAATTCTCAAAAAATCTCTGTTAGTTTGCTACCGTACTAATCTACATTCTACAATTTTTAACAAGGAATCTCCGCTAGTTTGCCTATTACAGCTTGTTTTAGCAAAAAAAAGTAGCCCGTGCTGTGGCCGATTGGTTAAGCTCTCGCCTCCCGTCCACAAGGCCCTGGTTCGACTCCTCCCGCGAATTTTTTTACCATTTGACCAGATTGATGCAGATACACATTTTTTATCTTCCGTATTTTGGCCTTCAGTGTATTCCACTACCCGTCTATAGGTGCCTTCCGTAGCCCCTTCCCCTCCTCCATTCCCCTTTGCTAAAGTGCAGACACAGTGTGGCCTATAGGGTGGATCATTTGGCGGGGCAATATCTTGCCCTCCCCCTCCGGCTCACATTCTCGACTATCAACTGGATTTCCATCCCGCTTTTCAAGGCGCGTCCCCCTCAGGCCGGGGGGAGAGGAAGACTCGATAGCCAGCCCAAGATCTAGGGGGATCGCTCTCACTTTCTGGACCGAGATTGACTGACCAGACTGCGGGGAGCAACGGCTTCTCCTCCGAGGATGTCCGGTATCGCCCGCTAGCCCGGTCTCGGCACGATTTCCATTGATTTGATGGAACCGGGTTTTATGGCTTTAAAGGAACGGGCAAGTCTTGCTTGTGGATTTCAGTGGATTTCGATGTTATCGACTGCGTCTTTTCAAAAAAGCCCGCTAGATTGCTAGCTGGAGCCTGGATTAATCGAAAGCCTGTGGAAACGACTGATTTTTGCCTTGCCAGCCCCTTTAATCGGCTTGCACACCCTCCCCTGATCCATTTTGGCGTTTCCCTACAACCTCTTCCTATCCCGCGACACGCAACGTGCACGCCGCGCGCCCATCGTGCGTCTGACCTAATCGATTACGTAGTGGAATCACGAGCGAAAAGCCGGCGCGCCGCGACACGCCGTCCTTCCGTTGCGTAATGTACGACGGACCCATCGGATTCACGCGGCACCTGCGCGTCGCGTGTCGCGGTTCCAGCCAAAAATCGGCAATCTCTAGCCAGACAAGACCTTCGCCAGCCTTTTAAAATCGATAATTTTACTCTCTTCGCATAAAAATTTTTAAAATTATTCAAAACGTGACCTTATACGTTGTTTTTCAGTTTTTGCTCTAGCATCCAAGAAAAAAAAAATAGGTGCTAGTTTTTATAAAATTTGGGCCATTTAAAAGTAGAAACCAGCAAGTTTTTGCCCTTTTCTATGTCTATTTTCTACCTTCTATTTTACTTTTTTCAAGGCGTCTTCCTCTAATTGCTTCTGTAATTTTTTTCGCACGCATATTCACGTGATTTTGCAGGAGTTGAGCCGAAAAGACCCCGGGGATGCGGCTGGCCATCGTGTTGTTGAGTTTGGCCTACTTGGCCTCCGCCCAGTCGCCCTTGAATAAGGTTTGTCTATCCTTTTCGTACTTTTCTACTTATAAAAAAAATCAGAATATATTAATAAGGTTAATATGCTAATTCCCGTTTTTAGGCGTGGAACGAGGCACTTCCCGGTGTGAAACCCTTCTGGGAAAAGTACCAGACCGGTCCCCACGGTGTCGTCATCCGGGGCTGGCAGTTCAGTCGATGCGCCTCTGAGCAAGTGGGCTTTGAAGATTTTAAATCATATTATCTCGCGCGGCGGTCGCGTTGCGCCTCCGCGCTGCTCAATAAATTGCATTTTAATTGCATTTTATTTAAATTCCGCTTTTTATTGTATTTTCAGTGGACCGACTACGTTGTGAACGTGTCGAACATTGTGATCTGGCCCGATTATCCCCGTTTCCCCGGGCCAATCTTTTTCAACGTCACCATGGATGTTTCGGAGGATTTGCCGGTGGACAGGATTGAAATGGACTTGGAGGTAAGCAAAGATAGGATTGTAATTCTTGTATTAATTCTTTAAAGAACGCAAAGTATTTTTGCGCTCTAGATATCGTAGTTTTATCGTTTTTTTTCCAGGTCCGCCACGCCGTCACCTCTCGCTCGGGTTCCAAGGGCTGGCAGGTGATCCCGTGCCAGGGATGGAATATTGTCGATGGATGTGATGGTGTCGGATCTTGGTAAGAGTATTTTTAAAGGGGCAAAGAAGGCGACCCTATGGATTCCATTATCAAGTTTTTTGTGCGCGTGAGACGAAACGCGCTGGAGTATCGAGAGTTTCCTGTTTCATGGCCCCGCTAAGAAGTAACCAACAAATTTATCGGCTTCCTACGAAATTCTCGGCTAGCCCGCCGCTTTTGCAAACCAGAGCGGAAGGGTGCTAATGCACTTGGGGGGCAGTCCCGATTTTGACTACAAGACGCTCCAAATGCCGTTTTTTAAACTCGAAGCCTCTGGAAAAGCTAAGCCAAGCCTAAGCCTAGGCTTAGCTTCATACAAACGAAGCCTAAGCTTAGCTTGAGCCAAGCTAAGCTTCGCTCTAAGCTTAGTCCTAAATGACCCCATTTTGACCACCTAAGGCAATTTAAAGCTCAAGTTAAGCTTAGCTTGGGCTTAAGCTTAAGCCTAAGCCTAAGCTAAGCTTAGTTAAAGCTAAGTTAAGCCTAGGCTTAAGCAGAAAACCAAGTAGCTTAAGCGGAGCGTCTCGTAATCCCTTACTACCAAATTCGGACTGCCCCCCCTAACTGCATTAGCACCAGCGGAAGATATCTGGCTTAGTAGTTCCTTTAAAAATCCACAAGAAGCTCTGCTAGCCTGCCCAAAATTTTAAAGGTGAATAATCTGGATTTTCGGCCATGGATTTCCTATTATTTTTTGCCGGACCCCGCGATCCGCAACGCGCAGTCTGATTTGAAGTTATTGTAATCGATTACGCCATGGAATGAGGGTTGGCCCTTGCCTTTCGAGGAGACTCGCGTGGCGTGTTGCGTGCACTCCCTCGCGTTGCGTGTCGCGCCGCGGCCACGCCAGCGAGAAAATTTGTATGGATTCCATAGCCAATAAAATTGATAGATTCGCGCCTTTCGGGTGCCTTTAAAGTACCCATACCAACCCGATCTTTAGCCGCTACTGCGACATGTTGGACAAGTGTAACGAGGCCGTCAAGGGCGCCAACAAGTACGTCACCGAGACTAAGGTATTGATTTTTGAAAAATCCTATATTTTTTGGTATAGGCCCGTGACTTCTTGCGTAAAAACAAGCTGTGCCCGCCACCAAAGGGCCACTGGACCATGACTTTTTCTAAGGTATGGAAAGCTGCCATTACGGTAGAACGGCGACGTTTTAGGTGTTCTCATCGGAAGATTTGCCGAGATCTTTCTTCGGGCCTCTTCAATCTGTGGGTTAAACAGCTTTAAAGTCGAAATTTGCAAAAAGCTAAACTATTTATAGACTCTATCTAGCTTTTATTTTTTAAGAAAACTTCGAAAGTACTGAAAAATGAAGAGACATTTCCGCGTTTTTTAAATTTGATAAAAATCATAGGAAGCTCTTTTTGTCTGAATTCTAGAAGTCAGAAGTATTTTAATAAGCTTTTAGCATAGAAACTATTTAAACTTATTAAAGCACATTTTAGAACGAATACTGGTTGACGTTCTCGTTCACCGACGGCAAAGACCGAAAATTGGGATGTGCTCGACTTTGGGTTGATGTCTGCAAATATCATCTACAGGTTTGTATCGTAGATTGACCAGAATGTATTTAAACGCTGTTTTAAAAATATAAACAAATTGAAATAATATCAATTTTTTTTTCAACAATATCAAGATTTTAATTTTTTGAAAAACAATAATTAAAGTTTCAAGCTAGTCTGAGCCTCCAAAAAAAATCAGAATTTGCAGGACCGACAACAAAAATGCCTGCGTGACCCGAACGCCTTCAAGAATTTCATCAACGAGATCAGCTCCCAGGCCGAGCAGATCCGAAACCGAGGATAGACTGCAATTCCCCCATATCCCTGCCCCTTTAATGACCCTGTTTCTCTGGCTTCTCCTGTACTCTCCCCCGCTTTCTCTCTCTCTCTCTCTCTCTCTCTCTCTCTCGCTCTCTCTCGCTCTCACTCTCTTGCCTCCATCAAAAGGGTAACTTCCCCATCCCCAATCGGCTCATTTGTGCAATGTCGCTTGTTTTTGTCTTGATTCGCGTGCAGGTAAATTATATATTATTATCATACCTTAATTGGATTTCATTCCTAAAACACCGCTGCTAGCTTGCCAAGGGTAAGTAGCAGGAATCCTTGAGGAATGGGTTTAGGATGTAAAAACAAAAATGTCTTTATTAATCTCTGGGAAAAATCGATTTCCATTGATATATTGCAACATTGTATACTCGCGTAATGGAGAGAGAGCGAGAGAGAGAGAGCGAAACAGAGAGAACGACAGAGAGAGAGCGAAAGAGAGAGAGCGAGAGAGAGAGAGAGAGAAAGAGAGCAGGGTACATAAGTAGGTATTAAGGGAGCCGGCAAGGGAAGGTCGGGGAGAAAAGGGAAAACGGCATGATTTTTTTGCTAATTTTTTGTTGCCGGTCCCTTTAGTGAAAGAGCTTTTCAAAAGCGATGCGTGGCAGTGGGATAATAGATTATATTAATCAAAAAAATCAATAATTTAAATATTAGAGAGGTGAGCTATGCTGTTTTGTATCTGCAGATATGTCAAAAAGGCGATTAAAAACAAGCAATAATTAACATAAATAAAATGAGGTCAACCGGATTGGCCCGACGAACAGTTGAGGTATCACTTGTTTTAGCGGTGGAGCACTGTCGATGTTGTTTTTACTTGAGATTTTTTTGAGCCTGATAACTGAGGATGCGGGGGATAAGGGTGCGCACTTCGCGCGCCTGGCAACGGTCCAGACCGGCCCTGAAAAATAAAATTATTTCTTCTAGCTAAAGTTAAAAATTTTTTAACGAATAATGCAAATTAAAAAACTAAAAAATGATTTTTTAAGCTAAAAAAATGGTTTAGTGAAGCCAAAATCAACCTCATCTTTCGACTAGGTCTAGACAGCTACGCATAAGGCCAAATACACTTCTTTTAGACCCCCACCTCTTCCCGATTTTAAAGGGCCGGACAGGGAGCTCTATGGATTTTAAGCCACCTTTTCATTGTGTAATCAATTCCGGTATCAAGTGGTCTTTGCGTTGTGATAAAAATATGGTGTGGTAAAATCCATAGCCCAGACCATGCCAGCCCCTTTAAAGAGGCGAGAAAACGCCAAAATCATCGTTTTTCGCGGTTTTCCGTTTTTCGCTCAATCTCCTACCTATTCAAATCGTAAATAGTATGCCGGAGTAGCAGATGTTGCCCATCAACGCCTTTCTGCAGAAAATAGCTGCAAGCTTCCCGGGATCCCGTTATTTCAAGGATCCAGCCGGCCGTTTGGGTTGTCTGAAAAAAACAGCAATATTCTGGAACCAGATAATTTAATTGGAGTTAATAATGTATTGCCGTGTTATATCAAGTAATAAGGCGTTCATCCAGCTATAAAATTCCGTTTTGTACTACTTACACTCCAGTGAGCGATCGGCACAGTGTCGATGAGCTGCGACTTGCTGGCCGCCCAGCCGATCAGCCAGCGATCACGCCCGCCTGGCATCATCGCGAAAGGGGATGGAACCTGAATTTTAAACTTTTTTAAGCTATAAATTTGCATTATTTTGAAGCGATAATAAAAATATCTATTAGTATAGGTCATAACGTATAATGCTTCGGATTATTTCACGACTTTTCAACGATTTAAAGGTTTCTAAAAAGCAAAAATAAGTTTTCTTCCTAATCGGCCCGGATTCATATTTTATCAAAAACTTTGCCTGACTATTACTTTATATTTAATTTTAATTAACTTTTTTAATTAACACTTAAATATTTATTAAAATTAATAAATAAAAAAATTAGTTAAACGAAATATTAAAAGCTTCTAAAAACTAAAAATACCTTTTCATCGTTATCGGGTCGAATTCGCCGTAGCGATTCTGGGGGCTGTTTTCGGGGTCTCGGCACGAAAGACCCTTTTACATCGTTGGTTTTCGAAGGACTATCGACACGGGTTTCGATGCTGAAATCGTTAATTGAAATTGTTACAAAAATGAATTTTAATACGTCCAAAAACTTACAGTATTCGGTCCAATTCGCGGCACAACTCGACGTCGACTACTAAAATTAATTCAATGTAAATGTCTACTGGATTGAGGTGATTTTCTGCTTTAAAACTTACCTGGAAGAGGCGTCGGGACAGGCGCGCTGATCCTCGGATTTTGTCGACATTCCCGACTACAGAACTGCGGGTGCAGTGCCGTTTTTGCGGACTAGAATGCGGTTTTTGAACGTTTTGAAGGAGGGGCAAAACGACGAAACTACAGACTACTACTTCTAGAAATTAGCACACATAAAAGAGGACGACACCTTCTCAAACTTTCGGCGACACGAAAGACAATTCCTTGACGAAGATGTGGGCGTGGAAATTGTCGAAGAATTTGAGGCAGATGACGAGGAGGTTGAGGGCAGCGATGCGAGTGTGGCCGAGGAGGAAATCTGAAAGGATAGGGTGCCGTGGGGGGAGGAGTGGTGGAAAATCTCGGGATTTCTGTGTGTCATCAGACTTACCGTAGTGTCGGTATTTGCCATGCTGCAACTATCATCCCTAAACGCCGGCCCATCCGAATCATACGGTGGCCCATCATGGTGTCCATTGCCCTGCAGCGTACTCGTCCTCCTCCGCGACCGCCTGGGCTCGTCGCCTGGCGATTTCTCGCTGCTTCTTCGACGTTTTGCGTCGAGAACCTGAAAGGGATTAAAAAATTATGAAAACAATAAAAATTTAAAAAGGTGTTTGCAATTAACAGAGGGCTGAAGGGCAAACTAGCCAAGAACATTTGAGAAAAACGAGAATTTTATGCTAGACTTACCCTAGCTTGCATCTCCTTCGGCCCGAAATCCATGTTGTGCAACTTCTGAAGTTCGGTCTCCTTCCGCTTCTTCTTACGCTTGGCCTAAATTAATTAATTTCATCAAGATAAAATTGAGTATTTATTAACGTAAAAATTCGTATAAAACAAAGCCGAAAACTAATTTTAAATAACCTACCGCATCGTCATTCTGCTTGGTTTCCGGAGAGCGCGTCAAAGACTTGTCGATTCTCTTGATTTCCGGCTGTTTCGCTTCGGCTTCCAGATTGGCATATTCTTCCGCAGAGATCAACACCTAAAAAGCAATTCTGAAACTTTTAATTGTATATAAATTAAACCAAATCAAACACATCAAAATTCTAATAATATCGAATTTTAAAATAATAAAATTACCTCCTTATCCGTTAAAACGTAGCCCTTCAAAATATTTGCTTCTCGGCTTCCATTGGCCGCCACAATTTCCAACGGTCTCGTGAGAGCAATAATTTTTGTAGATTCCTAAAAAAGTTTTTATACAATTGACACACCCAGACTCACATTATCGCGTCCAGCTCGCCGATCCCGATACATCCGCCGGTAATAGTTGGCCTAAAATCGAGGTATCCACAAAAACAACCAAGTTACCGTAGTCAAAAAGTGTTCCGCTTCTGCCTCCCGGTCTAGGCGTTCCTTGAGAAAATCCGGAGGCTGGGAGACGGGTGGGCATATATTGGCGACCGGCACCTCTTTCACCTCGATTTTGCATTTTGGGCGAATGGCTCTTGGAGCGATCGGCTTCGGGGGTTCCGGTGCTGGTTCCTAAATCGGATTTTTTTTCAGGAGGAGCTTTCAAAAGTTATCTATATTTTAAGCGGAAAAATTTCTCAAAACGCTTTCAAAAAATCTTTAAAAGTTCCAACTTTGGTCAAAAAACCATTTTTTCTTGAATTTTCAGTACAAATTTGCCATTGCTACGCATAGAAATAGTAAAAAAAAAAACAGAGAAAAAACCCGTCAGTTTATATTACAAAAATTGGGAACTTCTAAAAAAGTTCCCCCGATACTCCTAAGGAACCAAAAGCTTGAAAAAATTGCTAACCGCTTTGACAAGTGCCGTCATGGGTTGCTGAACTTTTAGCTGTTGCGCAGGGATCGGAATAGTTTTCTGAATTGCATTATTTTATAAGAAAAAGATTTCCAAACCTTCAACATCGGTAGCAACGGCTGCGCATAAGCTTTCGACGTTGACGGCAGCGCCGGGTAGAGGCCGTTCGGCGGTTTTTGCGGCTAAAACGAGTTTTTTTACCTTTAGAAGGATTTAAAATACCGCCTTTCGGCACTAAAAAGTTCTAACATACCTGCGCGACATGCTGCATGCTCGAGCCGACAATCCGCTGGAAAAGCTCCGGGTTGTCCGCCCGCCGGATCGCCTTTTTGTGCGGGTCGATCGTGTAGGGCTAAAAATAAACGGTTCTGGTGCGTTAGCGGGGGTGGGGGAGGCATAATGACATAAAACGCCCCGAATAGAACCCTACGCGTTTTTTAGATATGCAAAGTTTATGGTTCATAAAACCTATGAATTTGTGAAAACCTTGATTTTTTTGGGTCCAAAAAGTATGGAAAAAATTCAATAGAATAATTTTTAATTCGTGGAAGTTTTGATGGTTCCTGCTAAGCCCTCCCCCGCTAACGAACAAGAACCAATAAAGGTGGAAACTATAAAAATAACCCACCGCAATCCGTTGATGCCCATTTGTCTGGATCGGAGCTCGAAGAAGCTGCGCGCCGCCTAAAAATGATAATTTTATCCTTTTTTCGAATAACCCACCAAAAACCTTGATCGGCAATAGCTGCTTGGCGGTGGTGGGCAGTACGAGACAGGGCTGTGGACAGGCCCCATTCGTCATTATTGGTTGGGCCGTCGTCGGCGTGTAGGGGTGAAAAGGGCCGGCCGACGGGCCCGGTGTTGTCGCCATCGGCCGGCTGCCTGCAAGGTTTGGCGTTTGAGACCTGCTTTGCGGATGAGAATTCAAAAAAATGCCGTAAAAGATTCGTTAATAAATATGGGATTATTCTGAGTAATCATGAAAAGAAATTAGAACCAGAGCAACTGTTTTTGGACGGTTTAGCACCGGTTACGCGTAATTCTGCTCCGCTAAAAGGTCTCAAATCCGCTTAAAAAACCCGAAACAAGGGATAATAGACTTAATAATATGCATCAAATCGTTTTATCGAAGGTTGTGAAAACTTTAGAAACAATCTCACTTATTTTACAAAATTTAGCGCCGGTTATAATAAATTTTATGAGTTTTATGAGCTAAGAAAACATTTTTGTGATAAAATTCGGATAAAAATGGGTTCCGAGATTGTTAAATAAATTTTAAAACTTTAAACTGCCAAAAAAGCTTTTAAAAAGCTAGGAAAACGCACGGTACAAGTATCGAATTGTCTTACCAGAGCAAAAAAACGAATTCAGAAGTAAGTAAACTTATTTTTGACAGATTTACATTGAATTCGAAACATTTGTTCTTCAAAATAAGGCTTAGAAAGCTTTAGTTATCCAAAGACAACTTTTAACATTCCATTTTCCGATCAAACGACTTATTTTACAACTGTTAGCGTGGGTTCTAATAAATTTTTGATTTTGAATAATTTTTACCAACTCGTAGCTCTGAAACAAGGCCTTTTCTAGTGAATTCTAATCAATAAAATAGTCTATGAATTGTAAAAAACGTTCACCCAACTAAAGAAAAATAGCAAACTCGAATTTCGCTGACGATTTTTGCCCAAAAAGCTTCAAATTGTCGGCCGAATGCCACAAAAACGTCATAAATTTCCACGCTAAGCCAATTGGAACAGATTTATAGAAGTTTTTAAATTAGAAAAGGTAGATTTAGCCATGCAAGGCGCTAAAATCAACAAATGGCCTCGGGGTACAGCCTGGCGGACGGGCCGATGTGGGTGTGATGGGGCTACGGGCAGCACCTATTCACACCCCCGACAAAGGCTCGATTTGAATTGGAAATGGGAGGAGAGGAGAGGGAGGGCCCATTCTATCAAATTCTGCTAAGCCGGAATCGATACGGTCGTGGATTATGGATTCAGCACCGTCTATAGGTGTACATCGTACATTAGTCGTCTAGTACGGTAGTCTACCAAAAACGAGTAGCCAGAGAAATGGGCATTAAAAATATTTAATTTTGGCTTTTGCAATCATATATTTTTGACGCTGTCGATAGGTGTCCAGCGTACAGTAGCGCATTGTATCGGCCGCAAGTAACCCTGAAAAAGCACGTTTGCCTTAAATATACTGAAAATTACTTAATACGCCTTAAATTATATTTTTAGTGTTTTAACTTTTAAGGCGTTATTAAAAATTGGAATTGTGTTTTAGCACTGGCTATTGGTGTCGTTCGTACGTTAACATATGGTGGCCTACGTTAAATTGGATCGGTGTATATTGGCTTACCGTACAGTAACGTACCTGGAAAAAGTTCTGTTCCGGAATTAATTGTGTTTAAAAAGTGTAATTTTTTGGGAGCGGTTACGGTAGTATTACTACAATTAATTCGGATCATCCGTACCGTCGGTAGGTGTATTAGCGTAGGCGGGGGACGCGTAGGCCAAGGAAAGTAGTTTTTCAGATTAAATTTTAAGTTGGTAGTTTAAAAAAAACTTGTTTCGGGTCTGGTGGTTCAGCGGTTCTCGCTCGCTCGCTCGCTCGCTCGCTCTCTCTCTCTCTCTCTCTCTCTCTCTCTCTCTCTCTCTCTCTCTCTCTCTCTCTCTCGCTCTCACCTATTCCAAAGTTCTGTCTCCAGATTGGCTTCTTCTGTTTTCCACACCACTAGACTCCATCCTCAAATCCCGTCCAGGGCCCTGGGTCCAAAATCCTGTTATTTGGTCCCAAAAATTGCTGGCCACCGACCCTTGGAGAAAAATGGGCGTTTGATCGGAGCGGGTGTTGCGGGTCAGCTATTAAAGAGAAAGAGACAGAGAAAGAGGGGTCAGCATGGCTGTGTAATGTGATAAATGGACGTGGAAATGGAGGGAGATGGGCCCATCGCCGACATGTTGAAGCTCGTGGAAAATACGGCATTTGATTGAGGATTGAGCGAGACGGGGCGGACAGACAGACAGATATGGAGACAGACAGATATAGAGACAGACAGACATACAGAGTAGCAGTTCTGAGGGCTGACATACAGACTGACAGACAGATATGCAGACAGATGGACAAACAGACAGGAATACAGTCAGGCAGACGGACTGACAGACAGATAGACAGAGAGACAGACAGAGTAGCAGATCTGCTGGCGGACATACTGACAGGCAGACAGGCGCATGGTAAGACAGACAGAAAGGGTCCACCAACCATAGATAGACAGTCAGACAAACACAAAAAAGGTAACGGACAGGCATACCTACAAACAGACAGACAACCAGGAGCCATGCGACGTACAAAAATTCAACGCCGAAAAGCGAACATAGAAACCTTGAAAACCGTTAATATCGTATTATAGCGAAACGACGTTTTCGAATCACTAAATGAACCTGGAAATACTGCGTAATTAGGCGTAGAATGTAGCCCGAGGTAAGAGCAATTATCTCGCAAGCCCAGGTGTAGTCGTCATCAGGGTAATGAGTCCCAGGGGAGCCCCTTGGAAGCTGGAAAAATACAGAAATTCTAGATGGGACTAAGGTAACTGGGTTACGGTAACCGGGACAAAAGATTCTTTACACTCGTAAGTGCCTGAATTTACCTGGAACTCGGCAAAAGTCGTATTATGGATACGTTACCAGATTCAAGAAGATAGGACTCCGAGAAATCGACCAAATAGCCCGGATGCCTTCAACGGCCCTTTAAAACCAACAAAACTTGTATTATTGGTACGGTTAAATTTTAAGTTTTTACTAGTTTTTCCCCGTCAAGCTCTTTTGAAATGTTTCCATTCCGCCACATTCCACCTCCAAACGAACAAATGGAACTGGAAGAAAAGTGCACAACCATTTGGCCCCGCCCAAATCAATCCATCGGCCTCCCCTCGAGGGGCTTTTCCTCGATCCCCCGTCCAGTCGATCCTCATCACCCCATCACCGGCCATGCTCCCTCTAGTATTCCTTTTATTGGCCGTCGGCTTCGCCAGGTAATTTTTTGATCACCGATTTCGAGCAGTACAGTACGAGACACTACGTACGCAACCGTCCGCTACCGTAGGTCACACTACGATACGTTACGCCGCTATACGCAGTACACTAGAGTACGCTACAGTTCGGTGCGCTAAGCTATGTTGCAGTACGCTGCTGTAGGTTTGAACACCATACACTATACTACATGACACGGGAGAACGATAGAGTACGCTAGAATACGCCTCAGTACAGTACGCTACAGAACGCGGCGTATATACGCAAATTCTTAATGCTAGCTTGCCTAAAGAGTACCTTAACTTTTCAGCGCCGAGGAGATCAAATCCCTGCCGGGTGTCAAATGGGAGCTGGGCTTCAAGCATTACTCTGGTTTCTTCAAGGTTTCTGACACCCATTTCCTCCACTATTGGTTAGTTTAAAATGTTAAGGGACTGTATTTTTTTCGTAATTTTTAGGTTCGTGGAGTCGCAGAATGATCCGGCACGTGATCCGGTCATTTTCTGGTTTAACGGAGGACCCGGATGCTCTTCGCTTGATGGTACGTTCGGAAAAACAATGTTATCATTAATGCATTTATATTTTACGTTACCTTCTCTCTCTCTCTCCCTCTATTTCTCCCCCCTCTCTCTCTCTCTCACTCTCTCTTTAACTCTTGTCGCTCTCTCTCACTCTCTCTCTCTCTCTCTCTCTCTCTCTCTCTCTCTCTCTCTCTCTCTCCTCTCTCTCTCTCTCTCTCTCTCTCTCTCTCTCTCTCTTTCGCTATATATATAATTCTCTCTCTTTCTCTCTAGCCCGTCCCAGATCCTCTGGCCATTAATGCGTGGTCTCTACCACTTTCTTAAAACCCTCAAAAAATGACGGCAGCACATTTTGCCTTCAATGCAATTTGCAAAGAATATTTTGGCGTGCCATTAATGTGCTTCTTACCTTCAATTTTCCTTTAAAACCTGCGTATTTCCAGGCCTCCTGAACGAGATGGGCCCCTATGTGGCCCACCACGACGGGATCAACCTGGTGAAGAACGAGTACGCCTGGAATAAGGTGCGTCACGACTGGATTGGGTTACCGTAGCGTCTATAGTTTGCCTCCGTCGTCTACATCGAGGCCCCGGCTGGAGTTGGATACTCTTATTCCACTGATGGCAATATTACCACCAATGACGATCAGGTAAATGCATTATCGATAGGGTCTTTCCGCAGTTCCGCAAAGGGTCTCTGCTAGCCTGCTTTTAAATGGGCGGCAATTTTAAATACCCGGCGCATTAATTACAAGATTTTCCCAAATGATCTCTGCTAGCCGGCCCTGGCATTACTTCCAAAATTTCAGACCTCCCAAGAAAACTACAACGCCGTCAAGCAGTTCTTCACGACGTTCCCCCAGTTCCGCAAGAGTGCCACCTACATCATGGGAGAATCGTACGGAGGAGTGAGTTGTAGTTTGTAGTCTATAGTAGCCAATTACCGCATTTTCATTGCCGATACCGTACTAGGAAAGATACCGTAACCCATTACCGTATTCCAGGTGTACGTCCCGACGCTGACCGCCCGAATTGTTGATGGACAGAGCGAGTTCCCGATCAATCTGAGGGTGTGTTGTTTGGAGTGTAGCGTAGTGGAGGGCATTTAGGGAATGGCCCTTGGAAACGGATACGTGAATGAGAAGCTGAACATCGACACTTCTGTGCGATACGCCTATGGACATGGTAGGGTTTGTTAAAGGGATTGTGACAATAGAGTACGAGCTGTAATTTGCAGCTGTCTGTAGGCATTGTAGTTTGTAGCCTGTAGTTTGTAGCCTACCGTACCCCGTTCCAGGCCTGATCGACCAAAAGGTGTGGGATACCCTGGAGAGTGAATGCTGCAAGGGATGCATTGATGGGTGTGATTTGACCCAGGTATAAGGCTACGCTACATTCCTATGTACACCTACCGTCTAGCTGGAAGGCCACTGCGCGACGATGGTCGAGGATATCTTCCAGTTCTTGTGGTTCGGAGGGTTGAACCCGTACGATTTGTACAGGTATTTTTTCAAGGGCCGGTTCTTAAAGAATCTTTGCTAGTTTGCCCTCGCCTTCCGAAACAATCTTGGCTATTTCTCCCTCCGATCTCGCTAGTTGGCCTTCAAATTCCCAAAAATTGCTGGTTCTGCTCCGATTGCTCTATTATTTCTGCTAACTTGTCTAGTTTCCAAAAAAGCCTCTGCTAGCCTGCCCTCTTACCGTATCCCCAAAGGATCTCTGCTAGTTTGCCCTCAGATTACCTAGTGATTTGCTGCTAGCCTGCCCCCATTTCCTTATGAACTTCGGTTAACCTATTCCGATTTCCTAAGGAATCTCTGCTAGCCTCCCCTTCCGGTTATCAAAAAATCTTTGCTAATTGGCCCTCTGCAAAGAACTTCTGCTAGCTTGCCCTGCTTTTCCCCAAGAATCTAGGCTATTTTGCCTAGTTTCCCAAAAACTCTTTGCTAAATCGTGCTCCGATTCCCAAAGAGTCTCTGCTAGCCTGCCTTCTTTTCTCGAAGAGCCTCTGCTAGCTTGCCTAGTTTCCCAAAAGGTCTCTGCTATCTAGCCATCCTTTTTCCAAAGAATCTTTGCTAGCTTGTCCATCTTAACCCTGATTTTAAAGGGACTGTGACCCGAACCCCGATGCGAACAGCCCCCGAATGGAGTCGATGCTTCGCGGTGTCGTCCCCGGCGCTTTCGAGAAGACCGTCTTTGAGGGGCTCAAGAAGGCCAAGAAGAACCTCACCGTCACCGATTTCTTGCGCGTAAGAATTTTCAAACCTTTTCAAGCTATTGATTCTTATTCCAGGGCAAGAAATTCCTGTACGGTGACGCGCCGTGCCTCAACGACTCCGACGTCATCTCCTACATGAACGACGCTAAGGTAATTTGGAATTAACTGCTAAATTTTTACTTTTCAGGTCCGCCGTGCCATCAACGTGCCGTTCAACCTGCCGAAATGGGACATCTGCAGCGACAAGGTCACCAGCACCTACCAGAAGCAGTACACCGACATGACGCCGTTTGTCAAGAAGGTCAGTGACTTTTTCATATAAGGCGCAACCGCAACGCCTGCAAAAATTTCGTTTTCTGGGAACTACTTGTGAACGGCTTGCTGACGTGCCCGAAAAATACAGCAGCTTTTTTTTGCTTTTTTCAAGACAGGGCTTTTTGACGCAGCTGAACGTATTGCAGAAGTGTTCAGAGACATTTTAGCCGAGCACCCGCAATGTGTTCAAGGTAACGCACCTACTTTTTGACGTAGCTGATCGTCTTGCTGACGTGGTTCCGGCCGCTATAGAAATTTATGCCACGCATCCGCAACGCTTACTGGGCTTTTGGGGCAACTGAACTCCTCGCTAACGTGTGACGGTTGTTAGGGAAATTTATGTAACGCATCCGTAAACGCGTAAAGGCCTCACTTGTGTTGAACGTCTTGCTGACGCGTTTCGGCGTGTATATAAACTTACGAAGCGCAGCCGCGACCCGTGAAAAGCTCACTAGTTTTATATATGTTGAACGTCTTGCTGAAGCGTTGAAGCCGTTATAGCAATTTACGCAACGCAGCCGCGACGCAAACGCAACGCGCCAAATTTTACCCTAATTTCCAGATCCTGAACGCCCACGTGCGTGTGCTCCTCTACTACGGCGACACCGACATGGCCTGCAACTTCCTCATGGGACAGCAATTCGCCTATCAGCTTGGATTGAAGGTAGGTCTGCGGGTCATGCTCCCTTTAAACCACTCCCCCTTTTGCAGAGGACCCTCGGAAAAACGCCGTGGAAGTATGATCGACAGATTGCCGGATTCAAGACGCTTTTCGAGGGACTCACCTACATCACTGGTGAGCCTTGGCTGGAAAATTTTCTGGATTTAACTTTTTTAATACTGGAAAGAGGTTAGAAAAGATTATTTTGGAGAGGGCAGGCTAGCAGAGCCGCTTTAGGCATTTGAGGGCACTAGCAGAGATCATTTAGGAAAAGCAGGCTAGCAGAGATAATTTCGGAATTTGGACGTGGCAGGGATAATCAAGAAAAGGTCATTCTAGCAGAGATCCTTTAAGACATTTTTTTGATCGGCAGCCTAGCAGAGATCATTTGGGAAGGGCGGGCTAGCAGAGATCTGTTAGGAATTTAGGCAGAGAAGGTAGTCTAGCAGAAATTCTTCTTCGAAATTGCCGATAATTCGTTGGTAAAAAAATCTCCAGAAAAGCAAGCTAGCAAGCACAAGCTAGCAGAAATTATTTAAAAACAGCTAGCAAATAATCTTTAGATATTATGTCTTCATTAGAGCGCCAACATCGAGCAAACTAGCGCTGACGCTCTAGGAAATTTGTCAGAAAATTACAGTAAAACATACGATACTTGACTAAACTTCTTGGGCTAGCTAGCAGAGATTATTTAGGAAACTGACGCAAACAACCATTAATGCATGATTTGTTTTAGTCCGTGGTGCCGGCCACATGGCCCCTCAATGGAAGGCCCCGCAGATGTACTACGCCATCCAGCAGTTCATCCTCAACCACCCCATCTAAACGCAATTTGATATGATAATCGAATAAAATAGCAATATTTGAATTTAAAGCGCACGTTCAGGGAGGGTCCGTGTACTCGTCCCAACGTGTACACCCTATGGACGTAGCAACCGCGCGCACTGCCTGCCCGTGCTGTGACAGGCCATTCCCCTCCTTTGCGGCGTGGGGCGCCCCTCATCCCCTCGCCAGGTTGTAGCTGTGGCCGAATGGTATGTATCCGCGCCTCCCGAGCGGAGGGTCCGGGTTCGACCCGCGGCCGCGGCAAAAATCTTTGCTTTTTTCCAAAAAACGTTCCTGAACGTGCCCTTTAATAGACGGGGCAAGCCAGCAGAGATCATTGAGGAGAAAAAGCAAAAATCGAAAAAGCAGAAAAATTGGCCTAAAAATTAAAAATGATAGTTTTTTTAAAAGCCAAAAAATCATACTATTTTTGATTTCCCCAAATTTTTATTGAATCAATAATTGAAATGAAAATTCGAAAAACTGATTCTAAAAATTTAAGTATAAAAAAAAATGTTTTTAAATGGATATGCCAGTTTTTGCATGCTTTTAGTATTTTTGGTATTTATTCAATACATTGCACATTCGAGAATTCGTAAAACATAAATTACACGTTCCAACTCATTAGTAATCATAATTCTCGTGATAGGCCCCATTATGTTGAATATACGTCCGGAAGCACTTTCTGTACTTCTCGAACTCGTTGATGCAGATCGCGTATTTCGGCAGATCGGTCGGGACGGCCGTGTCGGCTTTGCAGAATGGAACACAGAACGGCAGAACGCCCTGGAAAAAAAAAGATGTTTTGGTGACTTTCTAGAAAGAGACTGCTGCACTTTTTAAAGGTACATGGAAGACAGGAATTCATAGTGTTTTATCTAATTCTCGCTAAAAATCAGTAGAAGGCCCTTTATTCCTTGCGCGGATTTTTGTTCGCTCTGGATACATGGTGATCGCGAGTCCTTTCTCCCTCTCCCTCTTTCTCTCTCTCTCTCTCTCTCTCTCTCTCTCTCTCTCTCTGTCTCATGCACCAGCAACGCACACGCAACACGAGCGCTACGCGTCAAGTAGACTGCGTAGCGTAGTGCATTTGGCGCGTTTGAATGACTTCAACGGCCCTTTAAAATGCCCCTACCTGGCGTCTACAGCATTCGGTGTGGTCGTGTTTCGAAGAGAGACACTTCCAGACCTGGCCAGCTGTACTGCCTTTTGGGCCACATTCTGTGATGAAGGGGACTACCTGGAAAAAGGAGGGTACTTGGTGTCCCGCTCCCTTTAAAATGCGATAGAGCGAGAGAGAGAGAGACAGAGAGAGAGAGAGAGAGAGAGAGAGAGAGACAAACTTGGAGTTGGTGAGAGAACGAGATACCGAGCGAGAGATCAAGAAGTTGAGAGATAGAGCATGCGAAAGAGAGAACGCGAGAAAGCGAGAGAGATCGAGAGAGAGAGAGAATGAGAGATACAGAACCGCTTCCAACCCACCATCAAACTGTTGACATTATGGAAATCGCAATATTTCCTCGCACATCCCGGATCGACCCCCGGCAATACTTCGCAGCATTCCCTCAGCTTGTCATTTGGAGCACCCGAAATTAAAGGAGCCAGCAAGGCAAATAGCCCCAAAATCCGTAGGCCGAACATCTTGTGGGTGTTGTTTTGCGCCCGGGCGATAAGCCGCTGGATCGGATAGGGGGATTTTAGCCGCCAAAAAGCGAGATGGAGCCTGTTTGCATCGTGGTGGCAAGCCTAGCTGGGATATCGATCCTGAACTTGGGATTACGGTAGATCGGTTGTGTTTTAGCGATTCGTAAAATCGTAAAATCTAAGCAGAGAGCATTTGGGAAGTGGGGAGCTAGCAGAGTTCTTTTGGGAACCGGCAGGCTAGCCGGGATTTTTGAGGAACGAATAATTCTGGAGTATTAATAGGCCAGCAAAGATTTCTCTAGAATAATTTTCTACCGTACTCCAAATAAATGATCCCTCACTTTCCCGGATTTTCACCCACTTCCCGACCCCTTTAAAGCCAAACGCCACCGCTTTGAGATTTCCTTGAAAGGCGTGTCGATAGGTGTCTCTCGTTGGAGATCGCGAAAACTGGCAGGTTGACCCGATTGGTGAAAGGATTATGTGGGTCATCTCCCGACACCCAAGCGAGGGAATAATGGCCATAAAATGTCTCGAAAAGCAGGATTACGATACTCTAGACAAGATAGAGAGAGAGAGAGAGTGAGAGAGAGAGAGAGCGAGACAATACATGAAGCGCCTATCGACACGTTTTGTTAGCGAGGATCGGATTGATAAGGAACGGCCATTCATTTGAAAGCAGCCGGTCGAGCTGCGCTCGAAAACGTGAAAGCCGGATTTTTGTTTTGATCGGAAGATGAACTTCTTGTCGGAGATGGTGCGCAGGCTACCAGAGATTCTTTGAAGAAGTCCATTTACTATTGGTACGATGGATACAAAAGCTGACGAGCTAGCAGAGGTTATTGAAGGAAGCCACTCGGGTTGATGACCCACCTAAGCTAGCGATCTAGCAGCGATCATTTGAGATCATAGGAGTGAGATATGAAATATTACTCGAATCACAAAAATTAGGAATTTTTTCATTAGCAGGCAAGCCAACAAGCCAACAAAAAAAGACAGGCAAGCTAGCGGAGAACCTTGCGGAATTCTGCATGTTATAATGTATGGATCCGAAAAAGTACGGAGGCTAGGAAAAGCCATTTGGAAAATCGTGGTTCTATTACTGCGTATCTCTGAACTCGAGGCAAGCAGGTAGAGATTCTTGAGGAATTTACCGAGCATCAATACCTAAAAGTGTACTCGTCTATCTACCTTCCAACGTCACTGCTAGTTTGCCGAATTGCGGGTAGGCTGGCAGAGAACATTAGGAAATTCGAATTCTATTAGTGCGCAAAGCTAAAAAGAGAACCCACCAGCAGTGATCATTGTGGGAATCACATCCTTCTACGCCCTTTAAAACGTTATTTTTGCAAAAAGAAGCAGTTTTTATGGTCGCCCTGCACTTACTGTCCGGCCGGATTGATAGGAGGTCAATTGGGACGGGCTAGAGACATTATTCTCACTTTCTCTCTCTCTCGCTCTCTCGCGCTCTCTCTCTCTCTCTCACTCGCTCCTCTCCATCTGGGTCAGTGCATAAAAGGCGAAATCCGGCTCTCGGAGCGTCATTTTACCGGGCTTTTGGCTCGGGCTTTTTCTGCTACCGTATCACCGGACCTACAGTACCTCCTAAAAAGTGCTTTTCTAGATGCTCCGATTTGCGGCCGTTTTGTGCCTGATTGGCGTTGCCGCCGCCGGAAAGTTGACCCCCAACGAGAAGCTGAAGAAGTGCTGCTCCACCTTGAAGGCACGTTAGAAGATTGCCGTATTTTTCTGATTTTTACCGTAGTATAATTCTATTTTTCGATTTTCAGGATGTCGATCAGGAGTGCGTGAACAACTTCTGCGACTTTAACGCCATCAACCAGGCCAATGTAAGTGGGAATCTTACGTTTTTTGAACGCTAAAAGCGCGTTTTTTTGTGTTCACAGCTACAAGCTTAAAATATAGCGCAAATGGAGCTGTCTGCTAAATGTTTCCCTAATCCTACCGTAACCCGATTGTTTCCAGATCCTCAACTACATGGATCAGTGCCAATCCAAGGGACCCACCGTCGGAAAGATGTGGGATTGCGCCTCGTACCGTCACGATCACACCGAGTGCTGCAAGGTGAGAGAGAGAGAAGGGAGAGAGAGAGAGAGAGAGAGAGCGAGAGAGAGAGAGAGAGAGAGAGAGAAGAGAGAGAGAGAGAAAAGGGAGAGGGAGAGAGTGAGAGAGAGAAAGAGACGAGAGAGAGAGAAAAGAGAAAGAGAGAGAAAAAGCGAGAGAGAGAGAAAGAGAGCGAGCGTGAGAGGGAGAGCGAGAGGGAGCGAGAGAGAGAGAAGAGCGAGAGAAGGAGAAAGAGAGAGAGAGAGAGAGAGAGAGAGAGAGAGAGAGAGAAAGAGAGAAATACGGTAATTTCCACATTTTTTCAGGCGAAGGGCGTTGAGGGCGATTGCCTGAAGTACTGCTCGGCCGAGAAGGGCGTCCCCACCAACTATCTGGAGTACACCTTCTGCACCGAGTCGTTCAACTCCATCCGGTACGTCATGATACTCCTGACAATAGTGTTTATCGTAGCTAAATGGAATTTTTGCTAGTTTTAAGGTGTTATACACAAAAAAATAAAATTAACTAAAAAGGGTAGTTTTAGCTTAATAAATAATATAATTAAATAGCTAATTAATACAAATAATTTTATTAAATTTTTAGCATTATGCTTTTAGATAACATTTAATTAACTAAATTTTATGAATTTAATTAATTCAGCTAATATATTATTATGTGATCTTCGTAATTGATTAAATCATTAAAATCACTTATTTTCAATTAATAATACCGCATCGATTTTCAGTGATTGCTTCTACGAGCATCTCGACAAGAACCCCCCATACGGTAAGGGAAAGAGCCGCAAGGGGAAGGCCAAGGCCTCTGAAAGGAAATAGACAGCCCCCACCCAACAAAAACACAACAAGCCATTCCAGCCGGGACCCCGTCGGATGAATGAACCCTATAATGCATAACCCCCAGATATTATACGATACGTGTATGATTATAATTAATAAACGGATTTGAATAGTGTTGAGGCGAGGAGCTTGGCAGTCCCTTTAAAGGGTTAGGCAGGGTTATGGACTTTCTGGGCGCAGGACCGCAACGTACACGCGCCGCCTGCCACCAGCGACACGTAACGCGTAGTTGGGAAGGCGAACTGGTGCTTTGCGTGTCGCGGCGGCGCCAAAACAGGGTTGACCTATAGGCACAAATCAACACGTATTTTTCTGGACCTCTAAACCCGGTTAAAACACAGTAAATTAAGCGATTTTCGCCGGTAGACAACATCTGCTAGCTGACCGAAATGAGAAAGCCGTTCCAAAAAGAATCTCTGTTAGCTTGCTCAAAGAAAAATACGATTGCCGAAAAATCAAGCAAAGGTGCATGAATTCCTAAGGATCCGGAGCTAGATTGCCAGGCCCTTTCTGCGCGGGAAAAATTGCTGCTAGCTCACCTAACGAAAGTCTGTCCCTAATATATCTTTGCTAACTCCCCCGGAGCATTGCTTTTCTTAGGGTATCACTGCTAGATTGCTCAAGTGCCTGTTATTCCTGACTGAACATTTACGTCCGCGCCAACCAAATTCAAGACACCTTCCTAAAGAATTTCTGCTAGCTTGCCCAAATGAAACGTGCGTTCGAAAAGATCTCTCCTAGCTTACCCAAGTCCATTGCCGACTTCCGGATTTTTCCGAGAAGATCTCTGCTAGATGGCTGAAACGAGGTTGTCGTTCCTGAGTTACCTCCGCCAGCTTGCTCTGTTCCACCAGCCAGCCGTCACTCCCTTTTAAAGGTATAGGTAAAGGCCCCCCAAATGTTCACGCTGGTTTCAGAGGTCCAAACGATGCGCCGAAAGTTTTCTATCTCTCAATTTAAATGTCGATATTGTTTGGTAAATTTCAGCTTGGCTTGATCAAGATATTTTTACACGACAGGGTAAGTCAGTTTCACAGTTAAGCAGCGGGGCGCTATGGAAAGATTTGCAAGTAAATTGCGGGCCCCTTCAAACCCTTAAAACCTTAGATTTCCCATTCATCTGGTCGGATAATCCGCTTTGTCATCTCGTTTGGACCAGTTGCCCATGGGGGAGAAGATTCCCCACGGCAGCCCAAAAAAAACTGGTTGCCACGGTGGATGGAGGGGGGATTGCCCCGCAGGCACTTTGTGGGTTTGCACGAAACTACAGAATCCCGCCTTGATTTTATGTAAACTTAAATACGCTTAATTAAAAATGGAATTTTGTTTGTTCCATTTTTTTAATGACTGAACAATCTATTTTCAAATTATGTTTTAGAAAACCTTAGAAATCTGCTGGACGGTACTTTTAAAGGGATACCCAACCTTTCCGAGGCTCAAAAGCACAAAACAATGACGTGGGCGGGGGTCGAACCCCGGACCCTCGCTTTGAAGACCTGGATGCTATCCATTAGGCCATAGTGGCAAGCCATTGGTTGGGATAGGCACTCCACAAGAGGGAAGGGGTCCGAATTCTGTGCGGCACTGGGCACCCATTCCCGCACAAAATTCGCGCGTCATTTGTACTCTCCGGAATACATAACTATATATTTGCCGCAAAAACATTGGGTATCCTCTTAAATGTACCTTTTAAAACTGCAATCTAAGATGTGTGAATTCCTGAATTCTATTTCGTGCCCTTTTTGCTGCTTTGCATCAGCAGAAAGTGTGCCTCCCCCTTTGATGCCTTATCTCTCCCTCTGCCAGCCACCCCCTCGGCTTAATGTTTCCCCTGCTGGCCGGTGCTTTTCGATTTTTCTGCCAAATGGATCTGCCGATTCGGAGCGCAAAGCCTCATTTTTCAAAATTCTAAATTTGCGTGTTTTATATCATTAATTTTGAAAAAATCAAAACAAAAATTTAATTTTAAGGTTGCAAATAAAATTGGGGAAATTTAAATTTGAATCAAATTTAGAAAACCTTTAATATTTCCTGCTTAAACTTAAATTTTGAGCTAAAAATCGTCCCCAAAATTTT